ATTTAAGATTATATTGATTGATTGAGAAAGATATTCAGAAGAACTACATCGTCCTAAATTGGAAACACATCGTGAAATTTGTGCTTCATATTCGGCGGAAATTTCTTCCACTAAAGTGCTACCGTTATTTTCAGAATCAAGCTCTTCAATTTCTGGCTGATAATCTGGATCGTCAACACTATCATCGCTGTCTTCAAATATACCTTTACCATCGTCTTCAAAATCCGACTCAAACTCTTCCGGGTCTCCAGCCATCAAATCGTCGATTTCTTCATCAGTCAGAGCATGGATTTCTGCAAAAGTCCACCTGTTCCGTCCAGTCACTCTACTACGTCTCGTAGACATTTTTCTGCAGGAAAATTACGAATCACCATACTATCATGATCATTCAAATTCAATAGCGACGTTTTGCCTGCACCTTGCAACACCGCTTAGAAGCGGTCTATGTATAATGGAAGGTACGACTCTTCCAGTCAAAATATCACAATAAATAAAATACCCATGTAAAAATATATTATTTTTACTTACCAGCTATAATTTTTTTAATTAAAAAAAAACAGGTGATTTTTTTGTTCTTATCAGAAAAGTTTGAAAAAACACTGCACCAATTTTTACACGCACCTGCACTGACTTCACAACTTTAAATGAATATGACACAGAATTGAGATCACCGATTTGAATAATTTTTTTTGCAACGACTATATAAAGGCTGATTTATTAAAAAAAAAATTACCAAACTATAAATAATCACGCCCCACTAGGTGAATTTTGGTGTCTAACTGTTGACCGCTTTAAAGCGGTCTTGCCTGCTAGAGGGTTAATCATCAGCCATACAGGTGCCTGATATATCTATGACTGCAATCTGAAATAAATTTTTTAATTTTTTAATGAGAAAAGCCTTCAATTTATAGCCTGATCTGGGGCTGGATTCTGGACACTGAAAATTATTTACACTCCTAATTTTGCGATTTAGGAATAGTGTTGTCACTTGAGATTATTTTTAAGAATCAAACTTGAAGGTTAAGTAAAAAAAAATCGGGCCTTTAAATAAAAGATTTATGTAGAAGTATATATAAAAAATGTTTGTAAAATATGTATGTATCTCTAAGATTAATTCAATTCATATCAAATATTATTTTGTTACTTAAGTAGAGATTATTGTTTAACTTCCGCAATTCATTTTCAGATCACCCATTTAATCTGCACTTAAATGGCCAATATTGGTTATTTAAATGCATATCTCATGCAACCCTGTGTTTGTACCAAACAACCAAGATTGATAGGTAGGTTGTTTTATCAATCTTGCCAAAGAACAATCAGCTGTTCAGTACAAAATGTAAACAAACAAGCAAATGCAACAACAATTTCAAGGGGGAAGCAACAGTGCTGCCACTTATTTGGCATATTTAAATAAAGTTGATCTGAAACCCAACGGAAGTTAAATGGCATTTACGCAACAATCCAAAATTAAACTTATGTGCCGTTTAAATATTCACGTTAAAATATTAACTCGAGTTTAACGGTTAGAGTTTATGAAC